CAATCTTATCTATTAGCAAAGGTCATTCCTTCTTCATAAATATGTATCAGTTTTCACGTTATCTGCTCAATCTCAAAATACCAGACATACATTGCTACAGTTATTCTGTTCATAAGAATGCAAATATCATACTATCTTTCATCTGAAAGCTTCCTCCGTTGTAAACCCTCTCATTCTTTGTCTTCTTCAAACCAACTTTCGAAAAAAGGCTTTCCTCTTCAATTTTTGATTTTCTCTCTCACAATTCCTTTTACCTGTCCCATAACCTAATCGCAGTTTTGTGGTATAGCCTAGGATCGTAGCGAATGTCTGAAATAATAGTGTGTTCAAGAAGAAAATCAATACCACTGAAATTTTCTTCGAAGTTTGGTCATCTTACGTTCCATTTCTATAAAGTGACAAAATTCGTGGATTCTTTTGTAAACCTCTACTTTAGCTTTCTTCTTATCTTTTTTTCTTAATTTTACAGCCAAATGAGAGATCTCTTTCGTTAATTTGTCTTTTTTACGCTAATCGTAGAAGTGTAGTGCTCCGGATTCCTATAGTTTAAAGCTTCAAGTATTCAGAAAGAGAAGATGTATTTTATTAGCGACGAATCTATGTTGAACCATTATTGCCCTTGGGACACCTATCATATTGAGGTACCAGAAAGACTGTCTACCATCTTGGAAGTGACCAAGGTAGGTGTCATCCAATTTGTCTAAAACATTTTGAAAAAAAGGAGACTTATTGAACACTAAACAAATCCTATATGTTTGCCAGATGATTAATTTTGAGTGGTTGATCTAACAACTTTCTTTTAGGAAGTGCAACCTCCAAAAACTTCAATTTTTCAAAAAATAAAAAAGAATTTGAAGTTGTCTCTGAGTCCTTTTCTGAGGATGCGTTTCAAAATTTTCTCCTTTTACAGAACCCCGAATTATCCAAGAGCATTCGCAATCTGCAGCTTCGTTCTGCAACTGAGGAAGACTTAGAGATGGTTCATACGAAGAAGTACATCTCAGACATAAAACGGACCAAAGACATGACTAAAGTCCATATTTTCTTTAGATCTTATTGCTTAATGATAAGAAACGGCTGTTTTTAGGAGGAGCAAGAGGAATTCTGTTCAAACTTTGAAGATATTTATGTGAATCGGCAAACCTTTGACATTGCCTTATTAGCAGCTGGATGCGCATTTCAGCTAGTCGACGCTGTCAGCGAAACTGGGTGAGTCTGCTAATAATTTCTGCAAGATTATCATGCAGAAAGACGAGATTTCAGTACTCCAGGCTTTGCTGCCATTCGGCCACCTGGTCACCATGCTTTTCCTGATCGAGGCTGCGGCTTTTGCATTTTTAACAATGTTGCCCTTGCTGCAAAATATGTGAGTACGATTCTAATAGTTCGTAAAGAATAGACTTTTCAAAATCTAAAAAAAAA